ACGCTATATTTACTCTTTTTTCTGTGCCGTTCGTTCATCAAACAGTAACAGTTTATTTTGATATTCGTACACGATGCCGCCTCCCTCTACCTGTGGAGTGTGCGAGTCCGCTATCAGTGGCGATAATAACGATAGCCTTCATTGTTCAGTATGCTTCGAACAGACGCATCGGACGTGTGGTCAGCTGCTCTCAGATTCGACGTGGATATGTACGAAATGCGCCGAAAATTCAGACTCTTCCTTTAAATCGACTGTAGCTATGAATAAGGATGAACCTCTGACGGTCAAGCACTTTGAATTGATCATGAACCAGCTCTCTTCCCTCAACAGTTCTATCATTTCATGCAACAAACATATTGAAGACCTGCATTCTCTAGTGGCCTCTCATGCAACTGCCATTTCCAACTGTGAGTCGAACATTTCCTCGATACAATGTAACAATTTGAAACTAAACGACCGAATATCTCAACTGGAAAATCATGTAATGGAGGGTAATGAGGAAATTTACTTCGAATGTAATGAGCGTATCCTCAGGGAAAAAAACATTTTGATAATGGGTTTGCCTGAGTCCAGGGGTAATGATGATGATCTGGGCTTGGCTAAAAATATACTGCAATCTGTTGCGCCAGGATCTGAACAGAATATTAGAAAGGCCATCCGTTTTGGTAAGTCAACGAGTGGAAAGCGGCCGCTCAAAATCATCCTGCTATCATCCGAAATAGCTCTTGACATTCTGAGGAATAAGCGCAAGCTATCAAGAGAACAATTTCCCAATATCTCTATTAGAGCAGATCTAACTCCAAATCAACTGAAACATTTAAATGCGCTTAGATCCGAACTTGAAGAGAGGAAAGGTCATGGGGAAGCTGATATAACTATCAAATATATTAATAATAGGCCCAAAATAGTCAAGACAACCAAAACTGATAGTGGAAACATTTCCTTACCTTCTAAGAGGACACGTGATGAAGAATATTCTCCAAAACGCAACTCGGGTTTGAAGGTTCATAAGCAAGTCACCAAACAATAGCAACCACTGACAATAATTGCTTGGAATGTACAAGGTTTCAAGCATCTCTCTGAATTCCATGATGTTGCGGTTGATTTCCATATCCTGTGTGTCTGCGAGACGTGGCTCAAGGTGGAGTTAACTAGTCTCCCCCACAATTTTTCTGATTGTCAAATAATTAGTGTCCCGGCGATAAGTGAAAAATCTAACGGTCGTGCAAGCGGTGGTCTGTGCATCTTTGTAAAAACAAGTTTCTCATGCACTATACTTGAGAAAACCCCCTGGTGGATTTCGTGTTTTATAAAGCATCAGAGTTTCTCTTTTATACTATGCTTTCTTTATATAAAACCATCATTGAATATTGACGATATATTATCAAATTTCCAGCTTTCTGTGTCCAGTATGTTTGATGAATACCCCGACCACCTCATAGTTTTTATCGGTGATTTTAATTGTAGAGTAGGTAATCTTGGCGAAATATCTGATGAGGTGCTCGAAGGTACTAATCTATATGATAAAAGAATTAGTAGAGATATTACTGTGAACTCTAGGGGACGTGCTTTACTGGATTTCATGGACACAAACTCTTTTTGTTTAATAAATGGTAGAATCGATGGTGATAGACCTGCAAATTTTAGCTTCTGCAATCACTTAGGTCAAAGTTTAATTGATTTAGCTTGGGCTAATAACTCTCACCTGAGTTTAATCCGCGATTTTTGTGTTCTCAATAACAATCTGATATCTGATCACTTTGCTATCTCCTTAAAAATCGATTATGACATAAATATTCCTCTCATACCACCCAGTGAAAATACTCGAAGAAAAACTATTCGTTGGGATAATAATCTGACTGCTGCTTTCCGAACGAGAATGCTATGGTCTATGAGAGCCGTCTTCATTCCAAATTCAGAAGAATCATATCAAAATCTCCTCTTGGCAATCCAAGAAGTTGCATCTGACCTTGGTCTGATAAACACATCAAACTCGCTAAGAAATTATACACGTCGCGACAATAAACCCTGGTTTGACAACGAATGTAAATTTTTAAAACATGAAGTCAATGTCAAATTGAGAATCTGTAAACTGAACAACTTCTCGCTTGAATCTCGTGCTGATATGTTATCCGCAAAAAAACAATATACAAAGGTCATAGCTCAAAAAAAAAATCAGTTTGATAATTCTATCGTGGAAACTCTTAGTAATACCGCTAATTCAAGGGAATTTTGGCAAACCATAAAAAGGCTTAAAAATCAACAAGCTCAACTTTCTCCACTCTCTATTGCTGACTGGGAATCTTTTTACAATGGTGTTCTTCCACAGAGAATTATTGATGACATATGCTTCTTTGACGCTCGTGATGAGATCTTAGATACTCCCATTTCCGTGAATGAGCTTCAGATTATTCTACACCAGCGTGGAAATGGTAAATCTCCTGGGGATGATGGAATAAGTTATGAATTTTTCAAGAATCTGCCGAACAACTGGCTTGTCTACCTTTGCTCCCTATTTAATGAGATATTGACGTCCAAACATATACCAAAAGCTTGGGGCGATATTGTTCTGACGATGTTGCATAAAAAAGGACCAATGAATGACCCTAGCAACTATCGTGGTATTGCTCTTATCAATTGCTGCACTAAGCTCTTCACGCTGGCCCTGCTGAACAGATTAACCGACTGGTCAGAGAAAACCAATGCAATCCCTGAATGTCAATCAGGGTTCAGGAAATTTCGTGGTTGTGCGGACAATGTGTTCACTCTCAACTCTATCATTCAACTTCAACTCCGACTCCGTAACCGCCAACTTTTTGTGGCATTCATCGATTTCAAAAGGGCTTTTGACTCAATCAATCACAGGCTCTTATGGCAAAAACTATATTCTCTCGGGGTGAGCTCTTCCTTTATCACTATTGTACGCAATCTATATGGTCTAGCTACCATTAAAATCAAGTCAAATCATAGTTACACGAAGAAATATGATGTATCTTCAGGAGTTTTGCAAGGTGAGTCCTTGAGCCCAATGCTATTCTCATTATTTTTGTCTGATATCGATACTTACTTTCGCAAACATGGTGCAGAGGGAATTTGTATCGATCAGCAAACTGATATCATTGTACTTCTTTATGCTGATGACCTCATTATCTTTGGTGGATCGGAAATTGACTTGTCAAGAAAACTAGGCATTCTGGAAAAGTACTCTTATGAGAATCGTCTTGAAATAAACACGTTGAAATCTAAGATAATGAGATTCTCCAAAAGTGGCTTCAGAACGACATATAACTATAGATTTCTGATAAACGGTCACGTGATTGAAATTGTGAATCAGTATTCTTACTTAGGGATATTGTTCGTTTCCTCGTCGCTTTTCAGGGAAATGGCAAACCTGTCTGTAGGTAAGGCTAAACAAGCAATTGGGTCGGTAATCTCTATTCTCACTAAAACTAAGGCCAATTCGTGGAACGCCAGAATTAAATTATATAACTCCATTGTCGTTAACTCGTTCTCTTCTTGTCTTCCAGTATGGGGAATTCGCTACTGCGAGGTTATCGAGAGAGCACAAGTTTGCTTCATCAAAAGACTTCTACTACTTCCGCTGAACACCCCCGATTTTTTGCTTCGCCTGGAAACAGGTTTCTCTCATCTAGCCTACATCGTATTCAAGTACACTTACAACTGGCTTATCAAAATCGTCTCGATGGATCCCAATAGATACCCAAAAAAGTGCTTCCTCAGGTTGGTTAACGTGGGTTCTGGTGACAAGAAATATAACTGGGTCAAACAAGCCGAAGGTTTTTTTGAATCAATTGGAGCCCTTGATATCTTTAGTCAACACAATGCACACCTCCTCCGAACAAATAAATCCTTACTTTTGGAAAAATTTAAACTGAAATGTCACCAGGATGACGCAGCCCGCTATTTGAATTCTCGGTACCCTCTATTCAGTTTCCCAAATCTTGCAAACTCTGTCACCGCACAAAAATACCTGTTTTTCAAAGTCCCAATTCATACCACCAGAATCATCGCGCAAATGCGCATGGCATACTTTAATCGTCTGAAAATTTCGTTCGAAGGTACATTTTATACAATAGATTTCACAGAATTGTGCACGTTATGTAATATGCACGAACAACAAACTCTTGAACATATCTTATTTATTTGTCCTATACTCTCTGTTGTCAGGCCAAACAACGTATCTTTTTTGGAAAATCGAAACTCTCTAGCTGCTGCTCTTCAAAATATAAGTACTGTTGAGGCCAAGATTATTTACGAGTGTGTTCATGAAATCATGAAGCTACGTGCCTTCATCGTCAACGAATAATTTCATTTCCCTCTATATCGTTAGATCCTTAAGCAATTTAATATAATATGTACCAACTTATATACTACATGAATTGGGTGAACGTTTCCATAGGTCATAATGTATTTTTTTACGAATGAATTGTATATCTCTCGTACCTATGATTGTATACAAGCACATTTGATTCTTTCTTTCTCCTCGGAGATTTGTAATGGGGGCATATTTGAATTTGTATTTGCATATCTATTTGTATTTTTATAATTGATATTGTATTTCTGCAGTGAATTTTCTTTACATTTTTTTTTTTCTCTTTTTGAAAGTTTTTTTTTTTTTTTTACTAGATTATATTCTATAGGTTCTCTGAAACTCTTTGCTATAAGATTTTTGTATTTCTTGTTGAGCAAATAAAGGAAAAAAAAAAAAAAAAAAAAAAAAAAAAAATATCATAATTATTATCATTTGTAAAACAATAGTTTCTCTGCCTAACCTCCAAATTCTCTGAGTAGGAATAAACCACTCAATTTTCACTCATAATTACACATGAAAATGAGAGCTTATTTCTCGGCTTATTGCATGCAATCGTTGACCTTCAGATTTTTGTTTTTGAAATTAGATAAAAAAAAGTTTGTTGGGTTATTGTTAGAACAGCTTGTATTACATTGGCCATAAATACTCCAGAACTGGGGTAGTCAATAAAACACAAAAAAATAGACCTTTCATATATTAAAACAAAAGTTCACAGATATGACCAAAATGATTTATCATTGGTTAGGTGGTAATTAACAATGATGGCCATTCATGACAATTCAAATATGTACAGATTGTCGTAACACAACCTCATCATGGATTCTGATCAAAATGTTCGTCACTTATTACTAATAAGGATAATCCACTAAATGGAGTGGCTGAAACGGAAGCAGAAGAAAGTGATAACTAGTATTCCAGAGCCCACTCGTTTTCAGCTAGAAAGGCGTCAACTACTTCCTTCATTGAAAAATTAGGTATGAGCTGATCTTGAGTAAGTTTCACCCTTGTTACAGGATCAAAGTGTCCCACTCTCTATAAAATTAAGTAATATAAGTAGGTTATAAACTTATTGTTTTTCATTATAACTGACCTGTAAATGTTCTTCCAGATCTTTTTTGTCATAAGTTATACCACTAGGCGTTATGACTGGTTCCTGAAGAATTTCAAAGCTTATTTTTCCACACAAATAGTCAGGGACTTCCCTTTTCTGAGGAACAAATGTATTTTTCAGGATTTCATATGATTATGTAGCTTATACACAAATAATTTCATATTTTTTTCATTCTTCATTAATATCTAACAATTCATTTTTTTAATGGACATCAGTTATAAATAAATCAATATATTTTTTTAAATTGAGCTCTTTTCTACTTTATTTCTTCTTTCTCTTCAATGCTACCAACGTGGCCGCATATAGAGAGGTCTGATAAATCTTTCCTTGTCTAACCTCTAGTCTGCGCCACTGAACTATTTTCGATATTATAATGACGTGATATGTCTATGTCATGAATGTCATTGACTGATGACATTTAGAATTTTCGAAATGAAATTTTGATTAACTTTTTGTTTACAACATACTTATTTTGACATAATTTGTTAATTTGACACTCTGCTGAATTGAAAAATAGTCAGTGGCACAAAATAGATGTTAGACGAGGAAAGATTTATCGGACCTCTCTATATTTCAATGCAACCACGTTGGTAGCATTGCAGAGAGAGATGCAAGAGGATAGAACTTTCCTCTCTCTCTCGTTCAAGCTAGAAAAGACCTCAATTGAATTGTATGAAAGCAACTACCCTGAACTTAAGATATAAAGAACAAGAAAGATGTATAGGAAATTCAGGTAGGGGATAGAAAAAATTAAGGTAAAAAGCCACAATAACCTTACAACAGTGGCAGCTCATGGAAATGAGGAAAAAACAGTGTCCTCTTCCTTCCATCACATCTGACTTTTTAATGGAGGTAGGAAATGAGAGGAAGTGGAGGGAAGTGAGGGAAAAATGTCTTTTCATGCAAAAATAAGAAACTATTTTTTTTTTCAATTTATTTTCAATTTTTTTCTTCTTTTTTTTTTCATTTGACTTGGCCCTTACTAAAAGAAGATCCCATAGTGAATTTAAAAACATTCATGATGATTTCTTTTCAATTTAACAAATAGAAATAAACCGATTTTTCAAAATGGTTAAGTACCAGTAATCATAGACTTTTTCATCAGTTAAGTAAAGAAATGTCTAGAACAAACATGATTCCTACATAATTTTAGTTCTTTCAGATGAATCATCATTGAAATTCATGGAAAAACATAGAACTGAATGAAAAATAAAGGATTCATGGGAAAATAATTTGGTCCCAAACTGGGTCTGAAATAAAATGGGATAGGAAAACAAACCTCTCAATAACTTCAGGGTAAATCGGTTGGTTGACCAAAACTAAGTTATTGAAACATCTATATCATGTTCCATATCTTAAGGTACTTACCCTTCTCCTATCATCCACTTTAACAAAAAGTTGGTTTAGTTCATTTAGGTAACTATCCTGAAATAACATTTTATACATAATAAAGAAACATCCAGTATGAATAATAAATTATATCAAGGGAATCATATAGCATACAAGTTTCATGGGATATTGTGAACCTACTATATTTGCTATTAATATTGGAAATCAATAATTCAAATATTTCAATCAATGGTCTATTGAAAAATCAATTTCTGAATGTACCTTATTGAAGTGGTAGAAACAATTCTAACAGATTGAGAGACAAGTCACCAAAATCAATACAAAAATATACTCACACATTTTTCTTCAATTGTCTGAAGTTTATTTTCCCTTATTTCATTATCAGCTTCTTCCCTTTCCACCTTCTTGATCTGTTGTTCCTTATCATTTTCCACCAATCTATTCAGGTATGAATGCAACTCAATTTCCTGGGCAATCCGTTTTTCTTCCTGCACTGAAAACCGTTTTTTCCTGGCTGCTCTCAGCTGTGAAGCTATGTCATCTCCGAAATTGAGTTTCTGTTCTTTTGCCAAATCAGCAGCTGAATCATGAAGCTAATACAATTTGGAATTAATAGATTTTTCACCTTGCCTACCTCTTTGCAAATGTTTGATAGCCTCATCATAGTTGTCGTTTTCTAGAAGTGCTTGCCCTAGAAAGAAATGGCCTTTAACCATATTGGGCTCCATGTCTAGGGCCCTTCGGCAATCCGTACATGCTTGTTCCCACCTTGATAGTTTCACATGACAGAGTGCTCGGTTTGTGAAATAATGAGCCACATCTGGATTCTTTATCTACAACGCCAATGATCTGAATATGATGAGGATATCAATTCTGATACTTACTATGGCTTTCGTGTAACAAGTGATGGCATCCTCATATTTTCTCAAGCTAAATAAACGATTTCCTTGTTCTTTCAGTTCCTTGTCCGATAGGTTTGCGGTAGAATACATGTGTTTACTCATTTTCTTTTGTTGTGACTAATCCCGCTTTGGAGACCATTAAAAAATCATTTCCAAAAAATTTTGTTTATAAATATTTATTGTTTACTTTTTATTATGGGCCTGTCTAATCCACCAGCGCGCGGATGTATATTCAAAAGAGGTTATGTTTAAATGTACATGTACCGTACACATAAAAATCATGGGTGGAGTTTTTCATTCCAATATTTTGTCATGCGCATTAATCGAAAAAACCATCAAACTGTTGCAAAATTCCGCAGAAATGCTGATGGAAATCTCTAAAACTTTTGTTATAAAAAGCGCACTTTCATTGTGATTTGAGAGTATCCAGCGGTTTGGAGGAGATTAACATGACAATTGGTATATACATCATAGTATTGTTCTTGGTTTTGATTCGATGAAAAATGTTGAAGATTTTTGAGATTCTAGAGATTATAGAAGATGAAGTTAGTGTTTATCTATAAAATCGTACCAGCCTCTTCTGATTCAGAATAAGATACATGAGATTTTACATTCTCTTTTATGGAAATTGATATATTATGACACAACGAAATCCAATTTTCCATGAATGTGTTGTGTATTCCATTGCAGCATCGGTTCCATCATGAATTCCAGCAGAAAATTGGCGCATCAATCAGTGATGAGGACTGTAAACTCATTTCGATGGAATGTTGATCATACGAATCACATCCCATGCTTATCCGCACTCAACAATTCTTCTTCTTTGTTCATCACATGATAGATATAAAGTGAGTGCACAATTTCAGCCGAGTGCAAATCCAAATCGTAAGGTAGGTATTTATTTTATAATAATATAATTATACTGTGCTTCTCAAAAGTGCCCTCCCCCCCTCTTATCTTCGGAACGATTATACATACACAAGTGAAATTTGGAAACTGAATATCAAAGGTTGTGAACTTCCCTACCAGTGATGATAGATGACGAAATCGTCAAAGATGACGTCACCAGGCCATTGTGACCAATAATTTTGAATGGAACCTCACGGCAAGCGACACCACTTTCAATTGGTAGCGAAAAAAAAATTAAATGATACTAATTTTGTTTGGGGTTTTTGGCAGTTCTGGCAACTCGTTTTCAAAAAACGCAATACTGTGATGAATTGAATCAGTTGATACTAAAATTCAAAATTCAAACTCCGCCAAATAACCTGACATTTTTGTTAGTCTCCCTAATTCGACGTTTTTATAATTGTCCATATTTTGAATTTGTGTAGGGGAGGGGACTTTTGAGAAGCAATGTGGAATTATCATTTGAGATCTTCTTCTATAGATGTTCATTATTGTATTTTATTTGAACAGGAGTGATACAACGTTCCAGCGGTCATTATTGGAACCTCCCATAAATGTGATTAGATAGATTTTTCTACAGTCATCCTGTTTCATCAAAACATTTGAAATTTTTTTGTCATATTTTTTGACATCAAGTCAAATACTATACCAATAACATTTATTTTTCATTTGTGGAAAATGGAAGAAATAGAAAACTACACTTTCGAAGAAGAAGCTCGTATAGTTCAGTCTGCAACAAAAAGTGTGTACACCTACCACTCAAAACATATCTCCAAATTTCTTGATATTTCGAATAAGTTTAGGTACAATTCTATACTAACTTACCTGCCATCACTACTATTTTTCAGGAAAACAAGAAAAGCGAGAACACCACAAACTAAAAGAGAAACAGTTTCTAATTCGTAGTAATTCCATTCAGCAATATTTCATAAGATTGTCTTCCGGCCACAAAAAGACATTCATTCTGAGATTGATGAGACAAATAAGGAGTTTGACCAGCGTATTGGAAATTTTACACGTTATGTCACTCGGGCATGCGAAAATTACAATTTATGCCGATATCGAGTAAGCCAAATTATATTGGGAAATGGTAAAATAAGTCTATCTTGGCCTTCAATAGCCGTAGCTTTAGATCTTGTTGATCTATGACTGGCTAACATAAAAACAATTTCATCATATTAAATCATCAGTATGTATGCAAAATGATAAAAACATAAAGAACTTACCGATTGGTAGGTACCTCTACGTTCACAAACATTGTTGTCACCATTCGTTTGATGAGTCTTCTTTGATCACAAAATGTTTCACAAGTATCATCTACGTTTTTGACTTCTCCGTCGCGACGAAAAACAAAGTTTGAAAATTTAGGTATTTAGGAAATAATTTCACGAACAATAAACGAGATGCTAATGCTAACCACTTACCAGGCCTACTGACGCGAATGCATTTGATCGCAGCACATGCCCTAAGGTATATAAAAGATAGAAGTTGTTGTCGTGCTATCTTTAAAAAACTCACAGAACGTAACGGACTGTAAAAACACTATTCAATAAGAACACTCTACTTCCTCAAATCGCGACATGGGCTAACAGTAGATCCACTGACTCTGCTGAAAATCTGTGTTCCGAAATATAAAATCAAAAATACAGTGCTGTAATTCGGTACACGTTTTCATGGTTTTCATCAGCTGATGAATTTTGTCAACTTGTGAACTGAATATTTAGCCTCCTGGATTGAGCTAAATTTTCGAAATTTAATATTCAACATGGAAGAGCAATCGATTTTCTTAGTTTCTTCCATAGTTTCTACGATTATTGACGATGACGATTCAAGCTCGAATGATGACCAATACTTGGACATCTTGTTGCCATTGATTTTACATGATGCACCAGGAGATTTTACCTCTATACCTATACCTACTTCATAATCCATATTATTGTCAGCGCCGATTATTTTCATAACAGGCATTTTCTGATATCAAACATGATATCATTTAATTTATTATTGATAAGACAAGACAGCCGAGCGTACAGAGTGTCAGTATTTTAATCCGCATTCGCTTGCCGGTCGTGGGTTCAATTCCCCGTGACTGAAGACATTTTTCTGATGGCCCAAGAAAGTGTTTGAGATCACACGTTAAAAGGTAAGACCCTCGTCATTCCTTGCTCGCACAAGACTCTCGAAGACTTCTGAGGGTTGCTCGTAAGGGGGCAACGGAATGACGGATAGGATATTTTTCCTTCCTCTCGAGACCTTCGTTAATAACACAGATTAACAAATAAGGTTTGTTAATCTGTGTTAATAATTCTAACATTTCTAAGTAGATGATAAACCTGGAATCTCAAGACTAAGAAATTCTAGGGAAATTTCGTGAATCGATTGTCAGCTGATGCAAGACAGACTGTTTCGACTTGCCATAAGTCTCATCAGTTGCACTGGCCAGCTGACAATCGATTCACGAAAGGTACCTCCATATATCGAAGAAGTCGAAGCCCTGAGGGGGCAGAAGGACGATCTAGCCTCCATAGCCATCTAGTGGCTTAAGTGCAAGGTGTATAGGTAGATTCATCAATCATACCTTGCGACTAAGTAGCTTTTACGAGCAAATGCGCATGCGTCTATAGTGTATCACCTGATTCGCTGTGACCAATCTGATAGAGGTTTGGGAATGGTTCGAAAACTTCAGGCTCTCGTCCTTTTGATAGCAGAAGAGCCTGCAGCAACAAAGAGGTATCAATGGCTTATTTTTCGGAACTGTACAGCGACAAAAGCCAACACTGTATACATATCCAGGAAAAAATGCAAGTTCAATTATACTACGCGTAACAATTTCACTGACGCTACTACATTCGCTACTTCTACTAACTTCGGTGGAGTCAGAGAAAATTCGAAATCAAAAATTTTTTAACTTCATATTATGTAGAAACTTCACAAACGATAATATTTCCACAAATTCCTCAATCACACGACATGTTTCGCTAACACAGTTGCTTCATCAGGTGAAATACAGGTACAATAAACTAAACTAACCTTGGCTTGTCTAACTTTTATATCATGCTACTCTCCCACCCTGAAGGATTAGAATGGGCTCATATCACAAAACATTTTTATTTCATAATTCAATAGAACTCACCTAAACTATAGCTCACCACCGCAAACCGTTTCTTGCTGTGAGCTCCCTACGTTTTAGAAAAAATTATTGAAATCCTCGATTTTTCGGGACCTCTGAAAACGGGGCGATGATGTGACGTCAAAACCCTAACACTGAAACAAGACTATTCCAGACAGAGATGAATGATACATGATTTCTGACAGAGTGAATCAGCGCCAGATCACAGTTGAAAGAATTAATATATCAGTTGCCTCGGTCTCCGTTGGGCGTTTGGTATTTTCTTTTGACTATGGCGAGATGAGGTTTCTACGTCATAAGAGGGTCCGTTTTCAGAAGGTACTATTATTTATGTACAAAAATAAAACAATCCAGTTAATTTTTCGATCGAATTATGTCGTCAATCATTATTAATGTATAAAAGGATCATTATAAACATGGTTTGAGTTGAACGTTCTAGTAGGGTGTACACGCCCATTGTCTGATGTGGACAGGTTCGACAATTAAAACTTTCATTTTCAGAAAATATAGGCACAGTTGACAGTATCTACACTAAAATACGGTGTAACGGATTAACTTGAAAGGGTTCATAGCAAGTATATATTATTACCTACATATTATTACCTACTAAGAAAACAAATTCAACAGTGGTGAACTATTCGGGTCTAGTTGATCGTTATTGAGTTTGTTGATTTCAAATGATTCATAATGATTGATTTTCAATCCATTATTTTCTACGTGTAGAATTTCGAAATTATTATCCAAACTATGGTTTACCTCTGATATATGCGGTTGGCGTATGTTGAATTTGTTTTCTTTTTCAAAAAATTTAACGTATGTTCTTCAATGCGCTGATTGAACGTACGACTGTCTGACCGATATATACCTTAGGACAATATCCACAGTAAAGTTTGTATACCCCTGATTTTTCAAATTCAGAAGTCTTTATTATTTATATTTAAGTCCTCTTTATTTAGAAATGAAGCTAATTTTTCAGTTGTTGATAACCTTGAGGTTCTATGATTTTGGTTATTATTTTTGATGGTAGGATAAACTTCCTGAATCGCTTTATTATCGAGTTCTTTAGAAAGAATACCGACTATAAAAATAACGTTGTATCCGTTGTTGACTGTAATCTGTTTTATGATATTGAGTCCTTTATTGAAATTTACTTCCTATAGAGGGACATTTACTAGCCTGGTGTATCATACTACTATCATGCTGCAATTTTATGTTGATGAGGGTGTGTTAAATTAATATGAATCATACTATGTATTGAACACGGGAAAAAAGATCTTAACTCTCGGTTTTCCTCTCTCTCTCAGGGTAAAATTTCTTGAAAACTATCCATATAAACTTCAGTTGAAGGTTAAGTGTTTTTTCAACGAAATTGAACAAGGAAAAAATTGTAAATACTCAATATTTTATCAGTGGGCGTAGAAAATATCAGAAAAAAGTTACCGCAAACCGCAACCCCCATCATTGCACAAGTATTTCACGTTTGCGAATCTTTTTACATTTATGCTCTTATTCTAGTCCCGAAACAACTTTCATACACGACAAATTGGTGCTAGATCATGATAGAATGTTGGACCAGAAAGTTCTAAAAGAAACCATGGATACCGATACAGCTTGGTTCGCATCCCTAGACGATTCCTATCAAATCACATTAGTGACAAGTAGGAGCATACCTTTCAATAAAAAATTACGTTTCTTCAATAAGTCATTGGAGTTTGGCAAATAGAAACCAAAACACTCTGTACAATCTGTTATTCCAGATCTGATACGGCTGTCTGCAGGCGTCGTAAAAAGAAAACTGTATCTGGCCATATTCCATATCTATTACCTCAAACTGAAGCAATTTCGGCAATCTCAACAAGAATTCGCGATCAAACAGTTTTCTAACAGCGAACTTCAGGCCGCCAATCTATTAACGCCTGAAGATGAGGACGAGTCCGAATACGATCCGAAACACCCAGCGACACTAGAAGTCGAGAAGCAACGTAAAAAGTGGGACGATATGATATCGAAGTATAGATCGGAAGTGGAACTAGCTAGACTCGAACAAAAAGAATTCATACAGCCGGATTCTAAGAAGAAACTCGTCAAAAATCAAGCTGAAGTTGTTGATGGGAAGTCGAAGAAAGAGAAAAAACAGGATACAAAGAATACTGTTGAAGAATTGGATTTGGTACTCTGGCAATACAGAATATAGAACGTGGCGTTTCATCCAGGAATGAATTCGACTGAAGCGTTCTCTGGTGCCTGATCATGCCCCTGCAAACATCAAATCTCTGGCCGCCTTATCGCCCAGTACATGAACGATCGGCAGATTGCTAGCCATGGCCAAGCTGCACTGGTCAAACGCCGGCCCATTGTATGGCATATTGTAATCGTTCGCCTATAATTCAGCTGGTACTCTGCCAATAGTGTCAATTCGTATTATGTTTTTCCCTACTTCATACAATGGTCTACCCATTATATGGCATATTGAAATCGTTCAACTATAATCTAGCCGGAACTGTGTCAAATAGAGTATAATTATATTTCAGTTTCAATTTACAAATCTAATTTTATATAGTGCAGTGGTTGAGGCACTCGACTAGTAATCAGAACATCGAAAGGTTGCTAGGTTCGGATCCCCGGAAGAACAGAGAATTTTTATTCATAAAACGAGTTATAAATTATAATTTTGGTAGCCTCGACCGGAGATAGTTCCGCACGATTCGCTGTTGCATTCCAATTAACTGTGCTGCTCCTAAGGGGGCGAATGGAGTTAGCAACAGCGCCTACACAAAACACTAATGGGCTGAACTCGTCGATGGCCAGTTGGTATGTATGTACATACCAACCCAAGTACAGGGTATCCCAATTTGGGCACTTTTGCGGGGTATCTCCCTTATCAGTTATATAGCATTGCGGTTTTCGCGACAGTGTGCTACTTTTTTATGAAATTAATAATGGCGCAAGCAGAAATGTGATAGCTCTTCCGGTTGTCGAGATACAGGGTGGAATTGAAAAATATCACTTTTCAGGCACCCTCCGTGTCTCAGTTATCTTTGAACTTATCGAAGAAGTTAAAACTTGTTTTATAGAGTTTTTTCTCGTAGAATTCAGTGGCGTAGTTATTTTTTTGCTAGCACCTTTTGTTTTTTAGTTATGGAGCAAACATATGTTTTTTTAAATGGAACACCCTGTATATTATTTCATATATACATTGAGCATGAAGTGGGCTTTCCAAAAATATATAATTGTATACAATTATTTTCCATTTAAAAAAACATATGTTTGCTCCATAACTAAAAAACAAAAGGTGCTAGCAAAAAATAACTACGCCACTGGATTCTACGAGAAAAACTTTATAAAAACAAGTTTTAACTTCTTCGATAAGTTCAAAGATAACTGAGACACGGGGGGTGATATTTTTCAATTCCACCCTGTAACTAGACAACCGGAAGAGCTACCACAATTCTGCTTGCGCCATTATTAATTTCATAAAAAAGTAGCACACTGTCGCGAGAACCGCAATGCTCTATCTTTACTGATAAGGGAGATACCCCGCAAAAGTGCCCAAATTGGGATACCCTGTACATAACTACTACTATTACTGTCACTACTATACACTCATTCCTAGATTTCAATATTGATGAACGTCATCAAATTCGGCTATAAAAAATAGGCAAGTCATCTGGCTCATAAAATAGATATGACAGAAATTCGGTAGTCAATCGGAGATGTTTGTCCATGTTCATCGTTTGTATGATATATCGCTGTTATGATGATGATAATTATTATGCTCAATTGAATATTCCTATCCGAAAGTTAACCGCAAATAAATTCCGAACACATATATCATGATATCAAGAAAGGAGTAGTAGCTCAGTTGGAATAAGTTCGATTTGTAAACCAAGTGATAGCGGTAGGACCGGGGTTCGAATCCCGTGGCGGTTGTCTTTTTTTTAATTTGAATGTATCGGCCAACATGTACTGGCCTTGATGACGGCAACGGCGATAGTCTTCTTGGTACTGGTTCATCAATGTTCAGAGGAATTTTGCCGTATGAGGCCAACCAAAATTGTTTAATGGAGCATGTCTATACAGAGAAGTGCACAAAACACGGCCAGTGGTGTCTCTTCTGAATCATTCGAGTTCGGATTTTGAAAAATAGTGGGAAGCAAGCAACTTTTGATTTTTAAATGGGACACCCTGTTTTTTATTCCATAATCGGTTAGTGATTATCATAACGAACTCAACGATACCGGGTTTGATAGGGTTATTTTAAACGATTGCGAAGATATTCGCGTTCTAAGTTTCTATTAGCTCAATGAGTGTGAGTGAAGGAAGTGCGAAGTCAAACCTTTATTGAGCATATGGAAACTTAGAACGCGGATATCTTCGAAATCGTTCGAAATTACCTTATCAAACCCGGTATCGTCGAATTTGTCATAATAATACAGGTTGTCCCATTTGAATATCAAAAGTTAAGATCGTTTTCGGTGAAAACGGGAGTGATTCATCAAACAATATTTTGTCAATAAATTAGCAATTTGGTATATTTGCTACCAACCAATTTTCGAAATTCGATTTCAAATGATTCAGAAGATACAGCACTGGCCGTTTTTTGTGTACTTCTCTGTATAGTAGGCGGCAAATTTGAAAGTCATTTAGCACCAATTTTATTAGTATTCAACAAAATTGAATAAAATTTGACTAGGTATTTATCCTAAACGAACTAACCTATTTGTAGGTATCTGCAATATTTTTTAAGGAAGGAAACCAAGAATGAAGTAAATAAAACATATTATCAGTTAATGATAAGAATCAAGTTCTTCAACAAAATTGAATAAAATGAGACTACATTATTGATCCTAAACGCACTAACCTATTTCACCATCAATATTTTTTGAGAAAGGAAAACCAGGATGAAGTAAATAAGAACTGATGAAAAAGAGATGTTAAAAAAGTTAAAAGTTCACAGCGATTCGAACCAGGGCCCTTCTGACGGACAGTCAAAAGCGCTTATTACTCTAGACAACTTGAATACATATAATTCAAATGCATACAACAGAATAACATCAAAAAAAGCAAAATATAGACATATAGACAGGCACCCGAGAGCGCTTCAAGCATAAGATGGGTTCATGCAAGCAAAATTTAAAACTTAAATGTTTTTTAAACTTAAACCAATAATAATATATAACTATGAAATGTGATGTAGGTGCTTATGCAAGAAACTAAAAAATTGATACTAGGAAAGATGACCAACATTCAACTAAGAAATTAATTTTTTCCATAATTCACAACAGCATGCGTCGAATAATAACTAGCCGAGCTGGAAAAAGATTAAACAGCCGATGAAAGGTTATTACATGAACTCCCATATATTTTTGATTTACAATTCGTTTAAATCTTAAATTCATTATAATTTAGTTGATGCTCGGCGATTTTGGATTTGGCGATGCTAGTGATGAAACGTGATTATGATGTCATTGGTTAATTCGAATTGATTAGCTGCCATTGAGTAGCTTCAGCTTCAGTCGAATTCATTCCTGGATTGAACCACTTTATTCTCACTAGCGCCTCCAGTGGCAGAATTTGATACTTGCTACTAGCGTCTCTGGGCAGCCTTGTGAGCGGTGTATGGAACGCCGTTTTGCTCATTCCTTTGCCTTTGCATGTCAATGGTTGGCATTGAAGATTAAAGTGTTTCATGAAAAAAAAAATGTATTTCATGTTCACATTTTTGTTCGGGTTTGTTCATGAGCAATGAATGCCTTTTCGAATACATAAAAACATTTCATATATCTAATGCATAAATTGTAAAGTAACTACTTAAAATGATGTTCGTTAAAATGATATTTAATAAAAAAGTAAAACGGCGTTCTATACTAGTGTAATGAATGTGACAATAGGTTAGGTTAGGTTGAACGTGAGTGGGCCTATTGTCAGGCCCTCCACTGCGGCCATTGGCCTATTGTGGCTCACCCTAGGGTTATATTTCTCCCTGTATATCCAATTTCTTAACGAAATTGAGGATTGCGTTGGGAGAACAATTTACCAGGTTTTCTGGCCTTACTGTTGTATTGCCGAATATTGAAAATCTGGTTCTGGCCGCTGCGGGGCATGTACACAGGATGTGTTTCGCCGTTTCATCCTCCTCCATACATAGGCGGCACTCTGCATCTTGTGCAAGTCCGATTTTGTGCATGTGGTATTTGAGTTTGCAGTGGCCAGTGAGCAACCCTACTATAACTCTGAGATCTGCTCTGCTGAGTTCTAGTAGTTTGTCAGTGTCCTGTTTGTTCCTTGTACCAGCAATAAATGCTTTGGAATGGGCTAGGCCCGGTAGACTGCGCCAGTACTCGAGTCTTTTCTTATCTGCCCAGGATGTTATAGCATTCTTGGCAGTGCTATATGCTATACCGATGATCGGTTCTGGCCCAGTGAACGGTGTTTCGGCCCCCCCTTTTGCTAGGGCGTCCGCTATTTCGTTTCCTACTAGGCCCGTGTGACCTGGTATCCAAACTAGGTTCACGTTGTTACGTTCTGCTAGTTGGTTCAAGGTTTCTCTGCAGTTCCATACTGCTTTAGATTTAAAGCAGTTGGATTCAAGCGCTTTCAGTGCTGCTTGACTATCTGAAAATATTTTTATTGTTTTCCGTGTGTGGTGTCGATTTTCCAACTCCCTTGCACACATTTCAATGGCATGTACCTCTGCCTGGAATATCGTAGCTAATTTGCCCATGCTGAATGAGCGTTTCACTACTGGGTTCATCCCGTATATTCCGGCTCCGACGCCTTCCAGAGTTTTAGAACCATCGGTGAACCAACATTCATTAGCCCTATATAGGTCAGTTTCGTTCCGAGCCCAGTCTTCTCTTTCGGGGAAGACCACCGTGTAGGATTTGTGAAGGTTGATAGTTTTAGGCATGATGTCTGAGGGCATTCCCAGAATGTTGTGAGCTATTATGCCCTCCAGCATGCTGCTGCCTCTCATGACTATTGCCTGCGGTTGACTAGTGGCCGCTTGGTGAAGTCTGTATGTTGCCCATCTTGCTTCTCTCTCCAGAACTATGTGAAGAGGATGATTTGCTGGCCATTCTCTCGATATGGGAGGTCGATCTGCAAGCATATGCTGACGATCTGGTCCTAGTAATACGAGGCAAATCCGAAGAGACGATCTCCTACGTCCTTCAGGATATACTAGATACCATATATAAATGGTGTGAGAGGGAGGAAATGTCCATTAACCCCCACAAAATGGTCATAGTACCGTTCACCAGAAAAAGGAAGCTGGAACATCTAAGACCTCCTTCCATCAATGGTGTAACAATTCCTTTCGCGAGTGAAGCAAAATATCTTGGACTAACCCTTGATAAAAAGCTAAATTGGAACTCGCACCTGGAAAAGACTATCCGAAAGGCTAGCCTATCACTATGGACATGCCGCAGAATATGTGGCAAAACATGGGGCATGTCACCAAAACAAGTATACTGGCTGTACGTGACCGTCATACGACCTATGATCACGTACGGCTCTGTAGTCTGGTGGGGCAAAGGCCAACAGAAAATGGCCCAGGCCAAACTCAATGGACTACAGAGACAAGCGTGCCTGGCGATTACGGGGGCCATTTGCTCCACGCCAACAGCAGCAATGGAAGCCCTTCTTGGACTACTTCCTCTTCACATGTGACAATAAGTTAAATGTTTTTTCATGAAATTTTCTCAAAAAGAGCTTCCCATCCTACTTCACAGTAATTTTTCAAATAATAACTTCGAGAAGAATATGAAACCCTTGTGGCAAGTATCGTTCTTAGACAGCTTCCAGATTCTACTATGAAGGCGCTACTAATATAGCTATCACATTTTTTCATCAGACGTCAATGGTGAATGAAAACACAAAATCTTGTATAGAAGTTTTGACCCGATTATTTTTTTTTATCTGAAAATTGTGAGAAGCCAGTGTTTTATATATCACATATTTCAGATTCAGTTACTGCCGATATGGGTGGTGAAAAAAATTTTTCGCTATCTGGACGAAAAAACATTGATATCCCTGAAGAAAGTCAACAATTATTGGTCTTTTACGGTTCAAGAGCTGCTCAAAGAGATCAAGGCGAGGGAGCATCTCGACAATTATTTGAATGTTTTGAAGGTGGGACACAAGGCTGCGTGGAATGAAATTATGACTGCCGAGATCACAAGGTTTGATAACACAGTTTTTGACTTTTTAGTCTCGTATCGAACCGGAAAAATTCGAGAAAGCTCTTAAAACGTTCAGCGATGAAATGTCCTCGAAAAAACCGATGGAGAAAACGAAGGGGATTTATTATGAAATAGGCGCAATTCCTGAAAAAATCGTTCCAAAATATAAAAAGAATTTGGCAGAAACATCATTAATATCAGATTTTGTGAAACAGGTAAGTAACGTCAATAAATTGTTTGTTAGGTCGGCGGTCGGCCATATATATGTTCTTTCCTTCTTCTTTCTGAGATAGAGAAGTATACACTGTGTTTGTTTCACGGTCAACCTTACAGGTGTAGGGTGATCACAAAATCAGTTAGTTTGGTGTTAACCAAAAGTTCAGAAACTCTCATCGGCAAAGAACTGAGGAACTGCTAGAATCTAGAGTTAGTTATACCAGTGATTTTATCATATTAGAATCATCACAACAGTTACAATCTTCAGAGTTTACCTAAGTATACTTTATTACAGGATAATATGTTTTCGACTGGCGATTTGGTATCTTTCCCACGGCTCATCAAGAAAGACATCGAAGCATACAGGCATCACGCGTGCTTTTTGCAGGATGTGAACGTCAGATTTGACGTAGAACATGAGTTGGAAAGACAACGATCATTTTTGACCTATTCGCTAACAAGTCTAGTAACAAGTTTGACAATAGACGTCAATGAGGAAGACTTGAGCGATTGGTGAAATCTCACGAAAGTTTTCATGCATTCAAGATTCTGCAATGTCAAATAGAATATCGACAATAAAAAATTATTGACAAAAATCGAAATCTTTTATAAGGCAAGATATGATAACCATGGGCAAATTTATATAAAAAATTCCTACCTAACCTAGTCGCGTCGTTCGTGTCAACGGCAGTCGCGTGCGGGAAAGAATCACTCCGCACTTGTTAGAAAAATTACTATTCTTTCACTTTATCCAATACCACAGTTTACTCGTGTATCTCCCCACTTCAATATCCACTGCATTCATTTTTAATTTGGTTGTTCCCACTATATCCTCCATTTTTCACATTCATCAATTATTGTTAACAAAAATTCAAGTTTATAACTTTAACCATCACCACCACCAACTATGGAGTTTGTAAATCCTAGGGCAAGTAAGGGAGGTGTGCCCAAACGGAAATGACGTCACGGTTAAACACAGTAAAATGGGATTATCAGCTTCAACCATGACGGGTAATGTGAATGAAATATACCTTATGGATGGTCCACCAAACCGCGCCACTGAAACGTGAGGTCGGTGAGGTCAAAGTTGGTAGAATAACCTGATAAATATAATAAATAAATATAAATTTTTCTTTTCGAGTCGTTCGGTCGTTGGCCTCTTCCTAAGATATCTTCTTCTCCGTCAATGTAAGAATTGGTCGTAAAGTTCCACATTGAGACTATTAAGAAGCGTAAGTCTTTCCATAACTTGATGTTTTCTATTTGTTCAAATATTCAACATGTGTTTTTCGAATGAATATTCTGGATAAAACAGGCCATAAGCCTTTAGGGCTATCCGGCATCATTTTGGGATTTTCGACTTCAACATTGATCTCATCCTCATGTTTTAGTTGCGCCAACTGGTAAGATTGGAATTGAAAATGTTAGCCCCAATTGAATCAATCCATCAGCCATTCTTCTTATTCTTCTTCTTATAAAATATTTGATGAACTGACCAGATTTGATACAAATTGGCTAAACAAAATTAGAGTTCCGAATCTGTGGACTGACATTTTCAAAAAAGAACCAGATTTGCCACAACATAACTAAAACATCTCATGAAAAAATTCCCTTCAAATTCAACAGTCTTCAAAAATTGTTTCAACAGTATATTAAAATATCCAGAATTGTTTCAAACTGTCAGTTTGTAATAGGTATATAGTGGTTGGTTAATAACAGAAAACAACTCATCAGAAAAATTCGTCACACTCTTCAACAACTTTCGGACAATATTTTCTGGCAAAATACAGATATGGAACATTGGATGTTAAAGGGATTTTAGTATCTACACTGTGTTTGTTCCACACATGGATAGCATAACTATTATTTGATAAATTGATCACAGCTTCCTTATTCTCCTCATTGAAGTACATTGTCCAATTCCACCAAGGCACAGCATAAAACCGATCTGGAGGGTACACTGTGAATCCTTGACAGTCTTTATTTATCATATCTTTAGCCAATTTCGTCCCACAAATTACTTTCAATAATCTAAAAAGAGCACCACTTTCAACATTGTAGAGATTCCTATGGAATTTTGTGTCAAAGGAATACATGAACTCAAAATAGGAGACATTCTAATATATCTAATAAAAATAGGCCTATATTATTGATATAATTGAATTCAAAATGAGTAGATATGCATATAGTAGTGTATACTCTGTGTAGTATAGTTGTTTATATTGAGTTCATTGGTAGTATATGGTTATGAATAATCTCAGATTTTCTATCATTTTACAAAATATGAGCCATTCTAATATCGAAATACATGAGTGATATTTTGTCTTATAGGAAAATGGTCCTGTTATTAGAGATTACATTGAATTCTAAATAAGTAGGTTTAATAAGTCTGTGTAGTACACACACAGACTTATTACACATTTTTTTAAGGAAAACAGCTGTGCTAATAATGCAATTAAATATAGGAGTACCTAATAAGTATGTACTATGTGTAGAAGCTATATCTGGAGGTATATTCTTATAAATATTCTGATATTTTCTACAATTTAACAAAATATAAGGCATTCTACTATTATAATTCATGAGACAAGTTGAGTTTCAAATGAGAACTGCCTTGTATTATTAATTAAATAAAATTCAGAATAAGTAGGTATAGTACTATGTGTAGAATATCCTTGTATTTTGGTATTTTTTACAATTTTACAAAATAAGAGGCAATTATAATATGAGTGGATTTTTCCTCGGATTTTTCAAAAGGCTATCTGAGGATATTTTCAAAATGGTTTCACAACTATTATCATTATTTTTTTTGTGACTTATGGCAAATAAACTTGGGCTCAGGTTAGGTCACATCCTGTATAGTGTTAATCTTCTTTGCCACTGTTTTCAAGAAATTATAAATCCTCTTTTTGAATGGAGATCTTTTAAGCATTATTTTCATGATTCGAAAATTATGTTGAGTCATTGTCATTCTGAATAAAAACCTAGTAGGGAGGTATGATAATATCTGTTCATAAACACAAAATATGCCTGTTTGCAGGTTTATTGAAATCATGGATAGGGGCAATTTTGGCATATATGTTTCTCTTGACCCTCCCCTGAGGGTTTCTTTTAGAACAACAGTGGTTGAGTATTAATATTTTCAACTGTTTTACCTAGTTATGACTCCAGGACCATTGTACCCCCAATCTTGTCCATTGAAATGATCTTTGAGATCATTCAAACAAGTGTTGGCAAACACATGACCCCTACCAGTTGGAGCAAAGCTCAATATTCCTGCTGCCACATTTCTCTCCGATTCTGCTCCTGCATAGTTTGGTGACAGGTTTTCTAAAGTTTTTGTAACAATGACATCCAGATCTAAATAGATCCCACCATACTTCCACAAAGTCAAATACCTGTAAAGAAGTTTAAAATGCAAGTTGGTACATTTGGTGGAAACTCTGCTTACCTCAAAACATCACTGGCATGTGATTGGGCCCAGTTTGAATTTTCTATCTTTCCAGATGAGTATAGATTCTCCACAGGTGTACCATGAGTATACTTCTCATAATCTAAGTGCATTATTCTTATGTTATCATAAGTCATTAATGCCTGCAGAATCCTATCAGACTCGTCATCTTTGAAGTGGAAGACTCCTGGTGATGTGTAAAGGAGGTAGACATCTAAGTTTGGATTCATTTTGGCCGCACTTTCCACTGCACATGCTTGGCGAGCTGATATCCAGATTTTTCCATTTATGAATGATTTGCAGGATGTTTCATGGAAAAATATGGATTTCCCTTTTGTGGGGGTTACCTCTGATATCTCAGGAAGAGATTCAGATTTCATTTGATAACAGTGTATACTATTGATATGATAAAGAAAATGATAGAAGTTCAAAGAAATATATTGGCTGAGCAGATAAAAACATATTATCATTCCAATGGCAAAACATATCAACAGTTTGAGGCATTTACGTTTTTGTATCCACAATATATTCATGTCTGCAGAATTATGATAGGAGTATATTGAACATGATGAATAGTGGTTCTGTACTAAAATTATAATAAAAAAATAAAATAAATACTGTAGTCGGTACAATAAACTGATGATTTCTGGATACCTTCAAAATAACAATTGATTTTCAACTCCGATTTTAATTAATTAGAATATTATTTTCTTTTTTATACATGACTGATCAATTCTTATTATTTATAACACCTTATTTAGATATTATCAAAGAATAATCATTAAGTTGAGATCACTTGATAATTATTATTAATATACCTGAAATATTATTTGAATATTATTTTTATTTTTATGTTTATAATCCATAATCCATTTAAGCTTTGAAATTCGAGTTTGAAGTGAGAGAGCCTAACCCTAAATTATTCGAAACACTCCCAAACCCACAGAACTCATATATTATAATATGAAATATATGAGTTCTGTGAGTGGAGGATGTCAGAATTGTACTGAACCTATTACTATTACGGTGCTATTACACCTTGCTTAGTACGCAAATACGACAACAGATACATAATCTAGTACGTTCTTTGATTTCATCCATAATAATGTAATTTATAATGATTATGTCATCAAGAATATGAGTTAACCAATGAATTCGCATCTGAAAAATACAATTGAAAAAGTGTCTGAGCTTTTCTTCACAATTTACATATCAAACTTTTGAACGTGCTCACTGTATAAGAATTCATACCTTCTATTTCTGTCAGAAGTATTTGTTTTGTTTTTTTCAACATTTTTATTATTGACCGAGTTATTTATTTCGTTCCATTATTAAATTGTTTCAAACCTTCCCAAAATAAAGATTCATTTTCAATATTTCTATATTTTTTCTTCACATGTCGAATCTAGTACGATCTATTACTACTGCGTACTAGATTTTAGTACGAAGGATCGCTACTAAAAATCCAACGCTCGTCTCGAGAGGAAGAAAACACATCCTTGAAAGCCTATAAATCACAATACAAATCATCACATCAGTGGGCTGACGCTATGCTATAAGTGGACCAGAATTAAACTCCCTGACCAAACTCAGCCTCCACAATTTCATTGAGAAAAATAATCAAATAACACGAATCTCAACATATCACGTGATGGGAATGGTGAAATTGCAGGAAAATGAGGATTAGAATATACTTTCACCCCCTTTTATACATATGATTTTTCCGTCTTCCTTAAATGAAAAGTCATTTCCAAATAATTTATTGATGAAATTATACTATAACTTATGGGCACGTTATTTTCACTCTTGCATCCTACATATTTTCAATTTGTGGTAGAGTAATAATTATATAAACAAATGTTGAAAGTGCGGTTTTGAGCAGTGGTTATTTGAATACCACTAGAAGTGAGATCTGGAGTCAATGCAGTTTTCGTGATATTTTCATAAAAAACTTCATTGACCCGCAATTTGGTTCGAAATATTTTGCTATTTCGTGGGATTGCGGCACATACCCTTCAGCGATATTCGTAGACTTCCAAGCAAGAATGTCTCCTCCAGAATTTGCAAGTAAACTTGCCGAGGTTCTTATGAAACTATGCCCGGTACATTGCCCGGGCATTTTTAAAAATTCTGCAATTTGATGACCTATGACCGATGACAGATGTCAACTGATGACCGGTGACAGATGACCGATGACATGTGACGTATGAGTGAAAAATGTGTATTATGTTCGCATGGACTGGATACTGGATGGTTTTCTCCGATTGAGTGGCAAGTATCAAATACTGCTTTTCTGATCTGGAACAGAACATCACATATCAATCGAAGTACATTTATATCAGAAAATAAATATCATTAGATGAATTAAATGGCTGTTGAATCTGAGACATACCTGAATAATATATTCAACGTCCGTAACTGGTTTGCTACATATCCGCTTTCTTTCCGAATAGTGTTTTTTCCAGTAGGCATCTTCCACATTTTCAATTACTTACGTGGGTTATATTTAAGGACCTTGAAGGCCAAACGATGTGCTGCTCGGATCTAAAACTAAGGATCAATTTCAAATTTGGAACGTGAAAGAATAATGGATATTGTTTTCAACATTCGTAACTGGAAAGCGATATATTCTTGTAATTCATCAATTCATCAACTATCTCAATGAAGACGAGGCAGGCAGATAAACAACAATTTTCTCTGCAATGAAGAACACTGTTTATACCTAACCCACCATGCGCCTACCTCCTTTGCAGAGAGGGTTTATAAACGCCGAGTTGATACTCTCCCCTCGTAAGGGTACCTGTCGTATTCCCATAGAGACATAAAGCTGAATATCTGTCTATCTGTCTGCTTGAGAATCTGGAAAGGTGATCAATATATCGCCTTCCGTACGAATATAAGGATCTGAATTCTGTAAAGTATACTCTGGTCAGTTCTCTTTGCGGATCTTCTGTTCGGTCGGTATTTACTGGATGGTTTTCTCCGATTGAGTGGCAAGTTTCAAACACTAGCTGCTTCTTGGATCTGCAACTAAACATCACATCTAAATCGAAGTACATTCAAATCAGAAAATCAATATCATCAGATGAAGTACATGGATGTTGAATCTGAGACATACCTGAATGATATTTTCATCGTCTGTAACTGGATTGCTACATATTCGCCGAGATATCCGCTTTCTTTCCGAATAGTGGTTTTTCCAGTAGGCATCTTCCACATTCTCAATTACGTGGGTTATATTAAGGACCTTCATGCCAAACAATGTGCTGTTCGGATCTAAAACTATATAAGGATCAATTTCAAATATGAATCGTGAGACCAACATAGAATATAAATCTATGAAAAGTCTGGATACTGTTTTCAACAATCGTAACTGAAACGCGATATATTTTTATAATTCATGAATTCATCAACTATCTCAATGAAGGCGAGGCAGGCAGATAAACAACAATTTTCTCTGCGATGAAGAACACTTTTCATACCTAACCCACCATGCGCCTACCTCCTTTGCAGAGAGGGTTTATAAACGCCGAGTTGATACTCTCTCCTCGTAAGGGTACCTGTCGTGTTTCCATAGAGACATAAAGCTGGATATCTGTCTATCTCTCTGCTTGAGAATATGCAAAGGTAATCAATATATCGCCTTCCGTACGAATATAATGATCTGAATTCTGTAAAGTATACTCTGGTCAGTTATCTCCCTGCGGATCTTTTGTTCGGTCCGTATTTACTGGATGGTTTCCTCCGATTGAGTGGCAAGTATCAAACACGGCTTCTTGAATCTGCAACTGAACATCACAATCAAATCGAAGTACATTTGAATCAGAAAATATCATTAGAGAAAATACATTGATGTTGAATCTGAGACATACCTGAATAATATTCTCAACGTCCGTAACTAGATTGCTACATATCCGCTTTCTTTCCGTATAGTGGTTTTTCCAGTAGGCATCTTCCATATGCTCAATTACGTGGGTTATATCAAGGACCTTGAAGGCCAAACAATGTGCTGCTCAGATCTAAAACTAAGTATCAATTTCAAATTTGAATCGTGGGACCTACATAGAATATCAATCTATGAAAAGTCTGGATATTGTTTTCAACTAGATTCATCAAAATTCACCTCTATGGAAGAGAACATGGGTCTATCCTTCAAAGTGCTGAGCTTCATTGAAACAACGACTGTTGATTTCCTGAAGTGCACGAGTAAATTGGAAAGGAACTGGTATAAAACTACTGTTAATACCTAACCCTTGAAGTCGACACCCTCCTTTGTATAGAGGCATTACGAACGCCAAAGTTGATACACTCTCCTCGTATGGGTATCGGACGTGATTTCATACAGTTGCAATGCCGACTACTTTCGTTTGACTGAATGATCGATGAAAGTCGTTTTTTATGAAGAAATGTTCGAAGAAAAATAAAAATACGATCTATATTTGACTTCAATGTTCATGAAAACTCAACTTGGACATCTCTATGTTCCATTGATTTGCCTGACACATGTTGAGCTCCTAGGTGAATTGTCCAGAACGATTATCGAGTTCTTGTGAGAACAGGATCTCAAATGAAGAGATATCTGCCATAAATTACATTGTCTCTGGAATATCCTGAAGAAAAACTTGGATTAGTATTATGCTTCTCCGATTGCGCAATATATCATTCATTATAATTCACATCTATGATAGAAAATATGGGTCTTCTCCAAAGAGCACAGGTTCATTGAAACAACAACTGTTGCTCTCCTAAAGTGCACGAATAATTTGAAAATAGAATAACTGATATAAAACCACTGTTTATACCTAACTTTTGAAGGCGACACCCTCTTTTGCATAGCGGCATTACCAACGAACGCCAAAGTGATTGCATACACTCGCAATGTCGACTACTTTCTCGACTGTTTGATTGAATGATCGATGAAAGTCGTTTTTTATGAAGAAAAGTTCGAAGAAAAATAAAAATACGATCTATATTTGACTTCAATGTTCATGAAAACTCAACTTGGACATCTCTATGTTCCATTGATTTGCCTGACACATGTTGAGCTCCTAGGTGAATTGTCCAGAACGATTATCGAGTTCTTGTGAGAACAGGATCTCAAATGAAGAGATATCTGCCATAAATTACATTGTCTCTGGAATATCCTTAAGAAAAACTTGGATTAGTATTATGCTTCTCCGATTGCGCAATATATCATTCATTATAATTCACATCTATGATAGAAAATATGGGTCTTCTCCAAAGAGCACAGGTTCATTGAAACAACAACTGTTGCTCTCCTAAAGTGCACGAATAATTTGAAAATAGAATAACTGATATAAAACCACTGTTTATACCTAACTTTTGAAGGCGACACCCTCTTTTGCATAGCGGCATTACCAACGAACGCCAAAGTGATTGCATACACTCGCAATGTCGACTACTTTCTCGACTGTTTGATTGAATGATCGATGAAAGTCGTTTCTTATGAAGAAAAGTTCGAAGAAAAATAAAAATACGATCTGTATTTGAATTCAATGTTCATAAAAACTTATCTTAGACATCTTCATGTTCCATTAATCTGCCTGACAGATGTTGGGCTCCTTAGCATTTAGTGAATTGTCTTGAACGATTATAGAGTTGACTAATCGGTAGACTAATTGTTCGACTGTTTGATTGAATGATCGATGAATGTAGATTTTTATGAAGAAATAGAAATGTTCGAAAATAAAAGAGTTATAGGGACCCCAATAAACTTAGTAGAATCACTTCAATTTTTCATACTTGCAATAGTGCTATAATTTGTAACTAATTTATATCCATATTCGCGAATTAATTACCCCTCATTTAAAAGCAGAAAACAACGGCTCTGTTGGCTTTATGTCAACCTAGCAGAACCATAGCTAAAAATGTATTTCTTT